TTGGTCCTGTTCTTTAGGTGTGTGTCTCCGGTTGACAATGTGCAGTATTGCTGAAATGGATGGCTGTGACATTTAACAGACTGTTTGACGATAACTGATAATCTATGCATAATTTTGCAGCAACACTCGGAGAACACGCGCGTAGCTACGAACAAAATTTGTTTTGTGTTGGTACTTGGTGTGCATTTTAAAACAAGCTGTACAATCATATCAGATAAAAGTGGATAGAAAAGTAAGACACTAAATTACTCCCCTTCTAGAGTGCAGGTGCAAACGGAATACTCGATAAAGGCAAGATTTAAAGCAAATTGTTAAAGAAAACGAGCAGGAAAGTGTACTTTTATTTTACTAAGAGATGTGTTGTACCTGGAACGGTTGGAGGTGTAACTGCGCGTGTAGAAGATGGGATAGTTAGAGAAATGTGCGTTGTGTCTGTTGAGTGACTTGGTGTGGGTGACGTATCGGAAATAACTGGTAAAGGAACAAGGAGATTGTGTGATGGGTAAATCGAATGGTGCATCGAGATACGCGGGTTTTAAACGATCGACGCTTACCGAATCATGCGTTACCTTGCGTTCCAAAATAAAAAGTTTATCGGAACGATAAATTACTCTGTATGGTGCGGTGTATGATGCTTGGAGTGGTCGACGTGTAGCGGCGCAACAAATGAATGCGTGGCCTAATGTGTGCAAATCATCAGGCACTTTTGCAGTCCACTTGTGTTGGTGTGTTGGAGTTGGTTTGGTGTGCACCATATGGTCTTGCAATCGTCCGGCAAACTTCGATGGAGAAACAGGGGTTGACGGTGGGGTTTGAAGCAAATCACCTGGCAGATGAAAGGTAGTTCCGTAAACAAAATCTTTCGCCGTACATTGGAGGTCTTCTTTGATGACAGAGCGGATGCTCTGTAGTGTGAGTGGAAGACGTTCGGTCCAGCGAGGATCTTCGTGAGCGCGAAGTGGGGCTTTGAGTTGTCGGTGAAAACGTTTAACGAAGCCGTTTGCTGCTGGGTGGTAAGCGGTGGTGCGAATGTGTTCGCAACCATGCAGCCACGTGAA